GATGCTGAATAGCTTCAAGTGGAGCTTCCAGACTAGGAAGGAAGGTATGGTGATCTACTTTAGATCAAGAGAGGTCTTATGGATCACAGACAACCCTGTCTAATGCAGCACTGGAAGATGAGTGCCCTCAGGTGAAAAGCACTCACATTCCATAGGGTGACGGACAGACTCCAGCACACAGTGACTATGAAGATGTGCGGGACTGGGTAACATCTGCTCCCCTCTGCAGGGGTCACATGGGCTAAGCTGATCCAAACAGCAGTCAGTGCCACCAAAGCCACACCCAGAACTGTATAGAGCAATAATGAGCATGTGAGGAGGAGTTTTATCTCTTCCCTTAGAAAACAGCTTAAAGAAATGTCAAGCTGAAGACAATAATTAGGACGCTGAGGTCTACCACAGCAGCAGAAGCAGCAAACACCCAGTGATGACGTGTTACATGTCTTCACACGTCACTTCATCAGATTTCACTTCATTTCCACGGCATTTCAACGACTCTTCCATCCTGAGATGTAGCTAAGAGGGCCATATAGGATGATGGTCCCAGTGCTCTGACCAGCTCTCTTGTGGGCAGTGGGGGGTGGGGGGGGAGTGGGCGGTGTCTCTTATCCCAGTTGGTCTTGAGATAAGCTACACTCCAGTGGTGCAAAAAAAGACATAGAAGGTGACAGGGATCTAAGAAGATGGATTCAACCCGAGATGAGGGAGATCACAGAGCCTGCCATGTCCTACAACTTCCAAATGTTCCCCAAACAATACAAAGGGCTGTGCAGGAAAGATGGTGAGGCAGTCTACTGGGACCATCAGCAAAGTTTACTGCTCTCCTCCTAGCTCTGCCTTTGACCCTTGACCTTTGATTCTTGCCTGAGTTCACTTAAGAGTTATTGTGCTCCACTGAGTAGGAACTGATTTATTGCTGAGTCTTCAGTGGATTTTCAGAGGCAGTAAATTGCATAGGAGATTGCCCATTTTTTATGTACAAAGCAGCTCGTGGATTTGAACTGTATGCTTTTGGGCTGAAAAAGCAACTCCTTACCACTAGGCCACTGGAGCTCCCTAGATGTAATAGAATATCATGGTTTCCCCCCACCTCATTGCCATCAAATTAGCTCTAACTTACAGCTGACCCTCTAGTGAGTTACTGAGGCTATAAACTGTGTGGGAGGTGATTGTCCATCTTTCTGCCATGGATTCGAATCACCAGCAAAGTATAAGGTCTTTGGTTTAGCAGGGCAAGTCCCTATGGGTTACAGCACCAGAGCTCCTGAGTATATTAGAGTTTATAACTGTTCTTTAGGCTGTACACCTTGTTTTATATTCTTTTATGAATGGATGATATTTTTGGCAATGTAAAAGTGAAAATATAAAACAGTGGCCATCAAATAAAAATCAAAGGAGAGTGATGGCCAGAGATGGATCCGGTAGTGAAACATAAAAGCCAGGTGGCTGGGCCATCAACAGACTCACACAATACTGTGTGTGTCAACTCTGCTCCACAGGGTTTCAAGGACTGAATTTTTCAAATAGATGGTCAGTACTTTCATCCAAGGTGGTTTTGGGTAAACTCAAACCCCCAACTTTTCTATGAGCAGCTGACAGCATTAACTATTTGCACCACTAATGGACCCTGGAACATGCCAGGATTTAAAATGGAACAATATTGCCTATTTCTTCAACTGGATATTTTAGAAAGCAAGCAGATGTTTACTGTGTTAAAAGACAGTGCCTGCCTGACAGTTCAAATCTACAAGTGACTTTACAAAAGAAAGATGGGCAATTTTATCCCATGTGACATACAGTCTCAAAAAAACTGCTGGAGGGTCAACTCTGAGTCAGTTTCAACTTAACAGCAACTGAGTTTGACTCCTGAATTTATATCTACTTTGCATTTTCTTGATATTTAAGATACACTTTACAAAAAATGGTAAGAAAATAAAAAATTTCATTTTATAGTCATTCACAACACTGTAAACTAGCCTAGAATTCTTCATGCCACCGTTATGAGAAAATGAATCCAGAATCTTTGCTTCCACGTCACATTGCCATCTGTTGGCTCTGCCATATGTGTAAGTATATTTACAGCACATACAAATGTATGATACTTTATTACTTGGTCACACTATTTTCTAGAATGTGATTTATAAAGTGGACGAGACAAGCTCCTGGCTCAGATCCCACAGGACGCGCTCTCCTCCTCCTGGGAGGAGGCTGATGCCTGAGTGGCCCTGCATTTCACAGGTTCCTCTGTTAGTTCTAGATCCTGAATGAAGCCCTTGGTTTATGCTCTTGGTCTCAGTTATGGACTAAGTGGTATAGACTAAAAATAGATATTTAAGTTCTTGCCCCTGGCTCCTATGAACATGACCTTATTTGGAATGAGGATCTCTGACAACTTTATCAAATGTCAAAGACACACTGAAGTAGGGGAGGCCCAGGTCCTATATTACTGGTGCCTTTATAAAAGAGAAGAGGCACAGAAACCAGAAGACAAAGGAAGAAGGCCAAGTGATGTTATAGCTTCAAGCCAGCCAGACAGACAGAAACTAGGAGAGGAGCATGAAACAGGCCCAGAGCCTGTAGAGAAAGCCAACAGGGTTTAATCTCAAAGTGGACTTCTAGCATTCACGACAGTGAAACAATCATCTGTTGTTCTTATGTGATAATATTTGATTGAGTTTAGTTATAGCAGCTCCACGAAAGAGCTGTTATGAACATCTGTTTAAGTACATCACATTCATTTTGACCTGGGTACAGGCACTGTTAAGTGATTGTATTGCCATGCAAGCTTAGATTAATTTTACTTTTTCTGGAAAGGATAGTTTCTTATTCCCTCACCTCTATCTTCCAAAGTCTGTAGCCTCCAATGTAGCCTGTTCAATGATTCTGGGTTCCCAATCTTAAAATGAAAAGATCACAAAATTACACATTACTTGTCAAAATAAGAAATGAAGACTACTGTGTCATCCCTTAAGGTCTCTTAAGTTCCTTAAAGGAACTCTGGTAGAATAGCCCAGAGGGTGTTGCACTGTTAACCAAAAGGCTGTCTCTGTGGTGGTTCAAATCCAACAGTGGTTCCACAGAAAATGGGCAGTCTCCTCCTATTATGATTTATAGCTTGAGAATGTCAATGGAGAGTCAGCTATGAGGGTCATAGCTTTCTTAGAAGGTGCTAAGCAATTATATTATACAAATTTGATATTAATTCTAGGAAAGTAAATAACGATAATTAAATGGTACCTTAGGGATACTTTCTTCAACATCTGAGGATCCTGAGGAAGAGACCTCCAGGATTAAGTGGGGACTCTGATCTTCTGAGAAATGAAAACATTCAGGTAAATTAGCCCACCAAGAAACACTGGGAGGTTGTATCATCTACTATGACACTCTGTTTTAGTAAAAGGAAGAGTACTAAATGAAACAAAAAAGTGTTGTACCTTTTGGAGTATCTGTGATTATTACATCTATAGATTTCTAATTAAAATAAACAGCCAGTCACAATGACTTTCTAACGTCCCTTCTGGCCCACGAATATCTGGGAAAGGGTCCAATACTTCAACCTGCTATTCCTCATTTCTAGATTCTCCCTTTTCAGTTTATTTTACTCTCCACATGTATTTTTTTTGCCCCTGCTCTCATTTCCCACTCTCCATTGGCCTCCCAGGACAAGTTCTGCCAAATATTGGTTTTGAAAATAAAGTTTCATGGACACGCACACTGTCTGCTGCTAGTTTTGTAAAACAATCACTGAACTAAGTCGTTTCACTAGCAACCATATGAACCAAAAATCTAAATGATTTACTCCCTGGCCCTTAAAAGGAAAAGTCTTCCAACTTCTGCTAAAGAACATTTTTGTTGTTGTTTCCTAAGGGAGCTCTAGTAGCCTAGTGGTAAGAAGTTGCACTATTCCAAAGGCACATGGTTCAAATCTATCAGCTGCTCTATAGGAGAAGGCTGGTCAAGGTCCTCCTGTGTGATTTACTGCCTCTCATAACCTGTTGGAGGGTCAGCTATGGTTTGGTTCTGACTTAATGGGGAACAAAAAGACCTTAACTAATCTCAAATGTGAAGATCAAAATTAATAAGCAATATCCTTTAATAGAGGCATTGAGAAGAAGGATTTTATCTTCACCTTTTCCTCAGGAGATCTTGAAAGGGGGAAAATTTTCTTTAAACTACCTATGGAGTTAAGAGTTTATCTTTCAGTATGACTTGCCTGGCAATTGCCTGGCTTGACCATGTGGATGGGTGGGAACATGCGAGTAGGATGTGTTAGCCTATCCACAAAGGGGGATGGGCCAGTCTCACTAATCTACAAGGTGACTGACTAGTCATGCTATTAAACTGAGCAATTCAACAGCAAGAAGAGGACCATCTTCTCTGGCAGCCAAGGAGGAGGAGGAAGAGAATGTAGCGTATCCTTTGTGTCTAGAAATTCTTACTCCACCTATACTGATAGTAGCAGAAATCTTGTCTGAACCAGAGAATAACATGAGATGGAGCTACTTTGGGACTGCCACCTCCATGGACAGAACCTAACTAAAAGCCTTTGCCCAAGTTTGTTGGACAAGTAGTAGGTGGTGAGGGAGTCAACCAATATTGAGAACTTTAGACTGAGAACTTGAGAATATAAGCCGAAAGCTGTGAGTCTCAAAGGTGACGTATCTGTGAGCACATTTCAGAAGCTGTCTTGACTGAGTGACTGTACTCAGCAACTACCCTGAATTACAGCCTTTTGACTTCCACAATATAGTTCTGTGTGGACCCAGTAAAGCAGTAAGATTGGTGTTGAGATGAGTAGAAAGAGGTATGGGAGTATGGGGGATAAGTCTGACCTTGTGGAAATTAGTTTTGTGCTCCTGACGCTGTTGACAGGGACAGTTTCTCTTTGTGAAGTTGGTAAAGGTCAGAGATAACTCTCTCCATGTGGCCCTTGCTCTTTTTACACTATCCTTCCCCAAACACAATTGTCTCTCCATAAATTCATCAGAAAAGTCACATACCTGTATTCAAAGGAGGATTGTCTGGGGATTTAGTGACCAAAATGTTTGGATTCAAGTCTTCATCTGGACTGGAGTTTTCCTTCTGTGATTGTGTATGAGGTCTAGCCTAAAACATAGTACATGTTCAAGTGTTAACATATGTAAGTAATCAACATCAGCTCTCAGTAAATTCAAAGACATTTTCAATAAATACTCTTTTTTAAAAAGCTAAATGCTAGATTTATCCCATTTGGAAATAAACACCAAGGACCCAAGATATGAGAGTCAGAAGAACATGATATTGTATCTCTATTGATGAGTCTCCAACTGTGGTTCTTGAAGAATAGTGATCAGTGTCCTCACCTGAGGACCTGTGAGGCATGAAGCCCTCAGGCGCCCCTATGCCCAACCTAACCAGAAACCTTCAGGACACACCCCAACAATGTGTGTTTTAACAAGCTGTCCTGGTAATTCTGATGACCACAGAAGTCTGCAAACCACTTTTCTAGGGCCGAGTTATTAGGAAGGGCTCATCCTGGGAGAAAGACACCATGTTTGATAAAGGTCGGTGAATGAGAGAAAGACCCTCAAGCAGATGGGCACAGTGGTGGCAACAGAGAGCTCAAGCAGTGGAGATTGTGGGAATGGAGCAGGACTGGGCAGCGCTTTGTTCTGTTGAACACAGAAGGTGGCCAACAGGATGATTCCAACTTATCATAATGCCACAGGTCAAAGTAGAACTGTGCCACTGGGTTTCCAAGTCTCTTTCTATAAGTCTTTACAGAAGCAGACCAGCACATCTTCCTCCCCCAGAGTGGCTTGGGAGGTTCAAACTGTCTGACCTTCCACTGAGCAGCTGTGTGCTTACCTGCACCACCACCAGGACTCCTCAGACAAGGAGAAGGGAGGGGAAAGACAGACATCTCTAGAGTTTGTTCAACATGTGTATATGTGCCTCCAGGCAGTCCAGCCCTTTTTGAAAAAATATATTTAAGTGCAGAAAAAGAATTCCTAAACTTTGGCTTGATCATGCCAACAAACTGACAATGAAGGGAAAATATTATGCCAGCAAGTTTACTTAAAAAAAATTTTTTTTAGAAAGAAATCCAAAGGCACATGCATCTCAGGAAAATCAGTACAGTGTCAACGTCTGTTCTTGTTCATAATCATAGCTGCTCTGCAGCACCCAGGAGCAACTGGGAAAATATCCTAAACCTTTACTCAAGCTTCACACTGCACATTTAGAAGTCCCTCAGCTCTACAGGCAGTTATTCATGTGCCAACAAATCACTGGCTTGTGGCTCTCAGATTGAAAGACTTATTTTGAGAAATGAATGCAGTTTAGTCCAATCTTAATGCTGGGTACCCTAAGACATACTGCAGCCCAGATAACACTTACCTTGTCTTTTCCCTCATCACTGCCTGTCCTGACAGGGGAAAGCGGCAGAACTAAGGAAGAAAAAGAAAACGGTACAAATGCGAGAAACACAAAAATCTATTTTTCCTTCTCCTACTGTACATCCTAATGTTAAAATCTATTAATACTTCTCATGGCTTATTCAGCTACCACATTTTAAAATCCCTTATTATCTCAACTTTTTTTCCTCACCAAAGAAACCACACTGATCTTGTGTCATTTCCTGCTCATGGTGACCTCTTTTGTTACAGGACAGAACTCAGATCCACACGGTTTTTTGGTTGTAGTTTACAAGGAAACAGATCACCAGGCCTTTCCTACACAACTCTTTTGCTTCCAACCGGAAACCTTCAGTCAGCAAACAAAAAAAATCTACTGCCATCAAGTCAGAAATGAGTCATAGCTGACTCTCCAATAGGTTTTCAGAAGGTTTACAACAGCACAGGAGGAGACTGCTCATCCTTCTCCCTCAGAGCCACTGCTGGATTCAAACCAGCACAGAGGTGTGGACTTTCAGTAGCCCCCCTCTCGGCGGACCGTGCCATCAGAGATTCTCTGCACAGGAAAAGAAATACTTGCTGATTCATTTTTATAAATGACTAAAAAGACGACAATTGGCAAACTCACGTTTTATGAGACTTGAGACTCTCTTTTTCCTTCTGTTAGAATATGATCTTAGGGGTTTCCTTTTCTGCTTGCTCGTCCAAGAGCTTTCACTGGTGGTGGTACTCGAATCTTGAGAACTATCTGATAAGAGGTGTTTCCTGTAATTAGACTTTTACACAGAGTTGATAAATCAGAATTTTAAAGGCATATTGGTGTCATTGTCACAACTATTTGCCTCTAAAACAAGTGATCCCAAAGTAGTTAAAAGTGAGGTAATCCAGAAAAACAAGTGGGTTGTTCTGTCAAATTGCAAGTCCAACAGGTTTCATGATACTGGGAACTGAAGAGGTAGGTGTTAGAAAACTATCCAAAATGTACCTAAATATCTACTCAAAACCTTAACATCAAACTATTAATTTAAATAAGAACATGTATGCATAGTAATATCTCACTCACTGCTGTCCAGTTAAAACAGATTCATAGCTGACCCTTCAGTGCATTTTCAAGGACTGTAAATCTCATGGGAGAGGAATGTCCCTCTTAATGTGTGTGTGTGTGTGTGTGTGTGTATATATAATGTATATATTTTAAAATTAAATGCTTCATCTTCTTGTTAGGGGCCATCAAGTTGAGTATGACTCAAAGTGACCCTGTCCTGTGCCATCCTCTTCTCTGATACACTTGAGTCCAGTGCTGTGTCAATCTACCCTGTTGGATTTACCTCCTTTTCGCTAACCTTCCACATTTCCAAGCATGATATCCCTTTCTAAGGAATAGCCTATCCTAGGAACATTTCCAAAGTGTTAGAGACAATGTTTCATCATCCTTGCTTCCAAGGAGTATTCTGACTGCACCTCCCCCAAGATGCTATGTTTTTTCTTTTGGCAGTCCATGGGATATTCAGTACTCTTTCCACGACAATTCAAAGGCATCAGTTCTTCTGTCATCCTTTTTCACTGAGGGGTAGGAGGGGCTGGAAGCAGAGGAATGTGGATGTACAAGGGGAAGAGGGAATTAATCATTGGGTTGTACAATTTGATGGGGGGGGTGAGGGTTAGGGAAACTGAAGGAATTTGTTTCAAATTTGTATTAGAATTTTGCAAATAAATTCATGGAAAGAAAAAAGTCAACTTGGAGATGGGAAGGGAGGAAGAGGGGGTAAAATGTGCAACAATGAATGAATGAAAATCTAACTTTTCTGTAAACTTTTGCTAAAATGACAATTAAAATAAATTTTATTTAAAAAACCCCAAAACCCAAAACTCAGCTATGAGTTGGTTCCAACTCAATGGCACATATTAATATTACTAAAAATGTACTCTATTTTAAGAGTTTGATTTTTTAAAAGCTGTCCTTTTAAAAGCATACTCACATTGTCTTTTTTATTTTCCATACTTTTTATTTATTCATTCACCATTAAACTTTATTTTTTCATTTATTTTATTAATTTTAATAAAGTTTACAAAGACTTCGGTTTTCCCGTCATTCATTGTTGCACTTTTCTCCCTGCCCACCCTCTCTCCCCAAAGTCACTTTTCTCCTTGAAAAGTAGAAGAAAAACTCTTTCATTGTTATGCAATCCCTCCCCCCAAGTCTACTCCACAGTGCAGCCTATATTCTGGACTCCTGTCATGACAATAATACCCAGTCATATAACCCTTTTAAACAGTTCACTTTCTCATCTGTTTCAATGCAGTATATACATCATTCATCCCCTCCTCTGTCTTCCCTCAACCCTCATGTCAGTCCCGTTTTACTACAGTGGCCCTATGCAATATTTGTCCTTTTGTGACTGAGACATTTCATTCAGCATACTGTCCTCCAGGGTCATCCATTTTGCATATTTCACGAGTTATTTTTCATGCTGCATAGTCACCCCCCAAAAGTGACACATTGTCTTATTTGAGTATATCCTGCCCCTGTGAAGCCTAGTGCTCGAATATCTATGCCTCTAGAGGGCGCTATCCTTCAGCTGGTAATAATTTCATATCAATGGCATTGTTGTTGTTATGTGCCGTCGTGCTGCTAACCTAAGAGATCCTGCCTCTCTGGCAGCTTGAATCCTCTAGCCTCTTGTGGTTCAGACTCCTACTAGAGGGTCATCTGTGAGTTAGATCCAACACAAAGACAATGAGTTTTATGAAATATTGCTGATTCAGTGGCAGGATTCTCACCTTCTCTGTATGAGTTCATTCCCAGTCAATGCGCTTCAGTTACAACCCCAACCTGCATGCTGTGGAAGCCTGAATGTTGCTAGAAATTGAACTAATTTCAGCAGAGATTCCAGACTATGATGGACGGGGTAGGGGTGGGGGTGGGAAAGCCTGGAGATCTGCTACCAAATATCAGCCAGTGAAAAAACCCTATGTATCGCAGGAATGGGGTAAAACAGTCAATCATGGAGCTGGAACAGGACAGGGTTGTGCTTTTATTCCAAGGGTCACCATGATTCAGGACCAATTTGCATACATACAGCCAACAACAGAGTCTCACAAATCTAAATACACTATGAAATGGTGACAGTATCTCCTGTGTACCAAGTATGCAAATCTCCAACCTGCAGACACACTAGGATGGGAATATGTGGTACACAATCCGCTCCTGAGGTGGGGGCAGCCCATCTTTATGACCGAATGACCTTGACTATCTGAGGAAGGTAATCACTATCAGGGTCATTTCCTCTAAAATACATTCCTTTTTGAAGACCGAATTATTTCCCATTTAAAAACTTTAGCAGTTCAGCATATGATAGAAGCAGCCATTTTTATAAGAAAGTTTCTGAAGCAAATCTCTCTTCAAGCTACCTTTACTTAAAAGATGAGGACCTTACATTTCCTGCACAGTTCAGACCAGTGTCAACATAACAAAAACACACTGTTGTGTGCTATCAACCGGCTCAACTTTTCAGGAGTTCAGCAGCAGTAGAATTGCACAGGAGGAGACTGCCCATATTTCTGCAGCAGAGCAATTGGTGGATTTGAACCATGTGCTTTTGGGTTGGCAGCAAAGCTCCTTGCCACTAGATCTCCCTTATAAAAATACCGTGAACATAATTTAATAAACTAAAAAAAATGCACCAGAGTTTCCCCGTATTTACATGAACGAGTGATGAATGCTAACATGCAAGTACAGAAGTACATAGAGCAGTGAGTGGTTCTTGCATTTGGCTGTACATTAGAACCATGGTGATGGGAGAAGGAAACTTTAAAATATCCCAGTGCCTGCTTATCATCCCGGATCAATCACATGAGAAATCTAGTGTAGCTTCTGCAACTCCCCAAATCCACTGTCCCTGAGTATATTATATCCTGAATCACAGTGTCTTTCCACGGTGTGTTTGGTTCTGGGCTTTAAATGTCCACAGGAAGATTCTGGACATCCTTCCACGTGTAACACCTTGTGGATTCACAATACCAATGTCCCCATTAGCAACCTGATACAGTATGCACTCCTCTACCAGGGCTCATGCAGGTCCAACCAAAGAGCTGGGCAGTACAAGCAGAGGACCACTGCTAGAAGCAGGCCGGGACGAGGCTCAACTACTTTATTAGAAGCGAATTAATTTCACATTAATTTCAGAAAAACCCATTGCTCCTGAGGTGGTTCTGACTCAGAAAGGCTCTTCCTTGTGTTTGCAAGGCTATAAATCTTTACAGGCATTGACTGCCTCTCTCCAGCCTGAGGATTGTCTGGTCAATTTGAACCACTTGTCTTTCACTTAACAGCCAGATCTGTTCCTAACTATACCACTAGGGCTCCTTAGACACTTTTAGAAACATGTATTCTGTATTATGCTGTTGTTGTTAGGTGCCTATGAGTTTAGCAATCCTTTGAACAGTGGATCTGAACCTTGCCCTGTCCTGTGCCAACCTAACCATCCCCGATTCACCTGAGCCCACTGTTAGAGTCACGGTATAAACAATCCGTTCCATTGAGGGTCTTCCTCTTTTTCTCTGATCCTCTTCTTTTCCCCAACATGATATATTTTTCCCAAGGACTGAACTTTGCTGACAACATGCCCCACGTATGTGAAATCAAGTTTCGCCATCCTGCCTGTAAGGATGGTTTCTGTTTGTACTTTCTCCAAGATAGACTTACTCGCTCTTCTGGCCACCCATGGGATGTTCAGTATTCTTCTCCAACACGACAGGTCAAAGCTGTCAGTTCTCTTTTTTTTTCCTATCAAGTCTTCTTCTGTCATCCTTACTCACTGTCCAATTTTCACGTACATAGGAAGCAAAAGACAAGACTATGGTCTGAATCAGGTGCATCTTAGTTTTTAAAGTGGCATCCCCTCTCCTTAACATTTTGGAGAGTTTCTTGACAGATTTTCCCAATATAACAAGACTTTTGAATTACTGATTGTTGTGACTGTGAATATTGATTTTGCACCCAAGTAAGTTAAAATAGTCAACAATTTCAATCTTTTCTGTATCTAGTATGATTTTTATATATTGGTCCAGTGGCAAGGATTTTTGTTTTCTTGATGTTGATCCTTATTAAAGGCTGTAGACTTTGATCTTCTGTAGCAAATTTTTCGAGTCCTCTCTACTTCCTGCAAGAAGACTGTGTCATCTGCATAAGGTATTGATGAGTCTTCCTTTAATCCTGATGCCACATTCTTCTTCTTAGGGTCAGGCTTTTTGAATGAAAGTTTCAAAAGACAAAGCAAACAATTATAATGAAATGTGCAAAGGATTGGAGGTAGAAAATGAAAAGTGAATAATTTGCTCAACATTTCTCAAGCTGAAAGAAGTGAAGAACAAATTCAAACCACAAATTGTACTACTGAAGGACAGGGGGAAATCTTGAATGATACCAGAACCATCTGAAATCTGGACAATGAATAAGGATGACAGAAGAGTCATTGTGTTGGAGAAGAGTAGTGAATAATCCATGAACTGCAAAAAAAAACCCAAACAAACAAACAAAAACCACAACAAACCCAAAACCAACCCAAAATCCCCTCAAACAAAACGAATGTTTAAAATTATAAAATGAATTATAATTATCAATTATAATTTTAATTATAATAATAAAAATTATAAAAAGAATTATAAAATGTTGTCTCACATATTTGGGCATGTTGTCAGGAAAGGCTAGTCATTAGAAAAGGCTATCATCGCGGGAAAGGTAGAGATTTTTAGAAAAATGTTCCATGTTGTTACT